TGGGCGTCTCAGCACTGGAAGCGTCCCGGGAAGTAGGTGGCACACACACTGCACCACAAAACCAGCCTCGTACCACAAGCTGCTGGCTGGAACTTAGGGTATCCAGATCTGTTTCCTCAAACTTGAACTTCCAATATATATTTAAAAAAATACTTGGGGCTGGGGATTTAGCTCAGCCGTTTGGTGGCTTGCCTTACAAGCACAAGGACCTGAGTTCAATCCCCGGTACCAAAAAAAAAAAACTTGTTAAAAGTTATCCTTTTTTTCCAACTTTGATATTACTCAGTTTCTAACAGTACAATAAATAACATCTACTTAAGTAGAAAAAAAAGGGTCTTGTGTAGTGGTGCACACCTGTTATCCCAGGAATGTGGGAGGCTGAGACAGGAGGATCCTGGGCAGCTTAGTGATTTAGCTCAAGATTCTGTCTCAAAATAAAAATAAAAAACAGGAAGGACTGGGCATGTAGCTCAGTATGGAGGCCCTATATTCATTCTCCAGTGCTGGGGGGAAGAAAGAAAGACAAGAAGAAGGGGACTTTACCATTCTTTAAATCAATTTTGCATAGTTATTGGAGACATTTTTTAAATTACTTGAGCTTTTAAGGGGGGCAACCCACTTCCAGGCCGCACTGTGGGACAGCTGTTGATATTATCATGACGGTATTAGATAACTGCCATGGCAACGTTAATTGAATCCTCCATCCGTGTCCGGGAACACCAGGCAGCCCCGGAAGCACGGAGGGTGACTCAGTGGGCGGTGCTGCCCTGGCCCTGTGACTCAGGGACACACCACGTTCCGCCTGGCCACTGCCACCTCAGCTGAGCACAAAAACGCAGCCACTACACGACCTGGGGCCGTTCCCACAGAGCAAAGGGCTGGCTTTGTTACATGTTCCCTTAGAGTCTGCTTTTGTTCTTTCTTTTTTTGTTTTGTTTGGTACCAGGGATCAACCTCAGATCCTTGCACTTGTGAGGCAGGTGCAGCAACACTGAGCTAAATCCCTGGCCCGAGAGTCTATTTTCACCAACTTTGAGAAAATCTTTACTTTGTGCTTAATATGGAGCCCTTGTTTCTTTTTCATCTTTTTTGGGGGGCGGGCCTTTGCTGTGAGCTACCTCCCCAGCCCTTTGTTATTTTTGGATTTTGAGACATGGGCTCGCTGAGCCACTAAGTTGGCCAGGCTGGTTTTGAACTTGCGACCCTCCAGCCTCAGCCACGCAGAGGGCTGGAGTTACAGGCCTGCGCCGCCACACCTGGCTCTTTTTGTCTTTTAGTGAAATCAAAACATATTCTTCACTCCCATCTTGGAGATGTACAGTGGGGGCGCGGGAAGCTTTGCTGCACTTCTTGGCATTGTCTCCTGCTTCTGTCTGAAGGCCCGTGGAAGAAGAGAGTGAAACTGATATACTGTGTGGGTCCTCCCGGTGCCACGACAGCCGTGAGAATCAGCAGGCTGTTACCACATTCAAATGCAACGGTGCAGCAAGGCTCCTGTGCTTTGCATATACTGTAAGATCTGAGAAATCCAACGGAACCATTTCTCCAACGTCTGCTGAGTGTCCAGTATGCTAAGTTCAAAACACGGATTTCAATGAAAGGAATAAACACAAACTGGATCACTACCCTAAAAAAAGCACCAGAATTTTTTTGCCGTGTAGAGCTTTCATTGCGTTATTCTGCTTAACACTCTTTAAAAACCATGAGTCCATGTGCCTCTCTCTACAGAAAAAGAGAATTCTGTCTGCAAGTCTAAATATACATCAAATTCTATCTAGGTTCAGGGAAAATAACATAAAAGAAAACAGCAGTTGTGCAATAGTGAAAGATATTGGGGGAAAAAAGAAAAACCCTCACCCTTAGTTTTCACAAATTGGACGTCAGCTTGCCCCCTCAACACGTAGCTTCATCAATACTACTTTCGTTTATTTATCCATCCATCCATCCATCCATTCATTCATTTTGATTTTTGTTTTGTTTTTTTGAGACAGGGTCTCACCGTGTAGTTGAGACTAACCTGGAACTCACTACGTAGCCCAGGCTGGTCTCGAACTCACAGCGATCCTCCTGCCTCAGCCTCCTGAGTGCTGGGCTTATAGGCATGCGCCGCCATGCCCTGATCTCATTTTGATTGAGACAAGGTGTCACTATGTAGCCCAATCTGGCCTTGAACTTGCAACAATCCTCCTGCCTCAGCCTCCTGAGTGCTACGATGGGATTGTGTGTATCACCGGCTCCATTATTAACACCTTATAATTATAGCCAGACATGGTGGTACACACCTGTTATTCCTGTCCTCTAGGATGCTGAGACAGGAAGATCGTCAATTCAAGGCAGCCTGGGCAATTTTGCAGCTTAGTGAGGCCCTATCTCAAAATAAAAAAGGGGGCTGGCAATGTAGCTCAGTGCCAAGGCCCTGGGTGCGATCCCCAGTTCACAAATAATAATAATATTTTTGAACTCTTGACCATTTGAAAGCACCTACGAATAGTTTTCCACAGCTGCACCCAGCCTGCTTTCCCTGTCTTTGCTAAGCTCCTCTGATTATCGCTAGTGAAGTTCCCCTATGCAGTTTGCAGTTATGTCCGGCAGGTTCCCATCCCCTGCACTGAAACAGTTACCTGAATAGGGTAGATTTGCTTTTGCGAGGTGCTTCTCTTAAACCACACAGAGCCCAGAGCCTGTTTCCCTCGTGGCTAACAATTTTATTTTTCTCAGCCATCGGTCAGTGGAGCGAGGCTGTGCACTCTCTGTCAAACTGGTTCCACCTCATTTCGTGACCTTCGCTCCTTGTTTGCAGCGCCCGCTGATAGACCGACCCTGCCCCTCACAAGTGCAGCTCCCCACAGGCTCCGGCTTCACGCCAACCTGCTCTCAGAAGCTCATTTCTCAAACTTTCACATGTATACATTTTGAAGTTTCCATAAATCTATTTTGTGTCACCACAACCTTTTCTATACATAATTTTTAGCCTATTTAAAGTAGTAGATGTTTTACTATCTGCACAGGATAAAGGAGCAGGCATGGCTGAGAGCAGTTTCTAATAAAGGTGATGAGGAAATGCGGAATTCTTTATCTGACGGGGCTCCACAGCTCTTGGTCCTCGGTAGATGACAGAGGCACTAGAAGAAAAAATTTTCCCTTTTTTGCAGTGCTGTGGATTAAACCCAGGGCCCCGACACACAGGGTAGGTTCTTTGCCACACGCAATGCTCCCAGCCCTGGGGAGATTTCTGGGGAGGGTTCGGGACTTCGGGATGCACAGCGTGGCCCCGGCATTGCCTGGCAGTGCCACCTGGCATAGTCATGGAGGTACGGCCACTCACGACCTAGGTCCTCCTCTGTCAAGTGACAGGGTTACGGGCTGGGTAGTTCTAAGACCCACTCAGTCCTAATGTCACAATCATCTCTTTATGGCCTCAAGACAAAGGAAGTCACTTCCCAGTTTATTACTTTTCTGTTCTTTTTTTTTTTTTTTTTTTTTTTTTGTACTGGGGATCAAACTTGGGTCCTCGTGTTTGCAAGGTAGGAGGCGGAACCACTGAGCTCAATCCCTGGCCTTTGGCTTATATTTTAATATGGTATCTACTGTAATAGGTACTGTGCGGTATCTACTGGGTATGGTGGTGCCAATTGTAATTCAAGCACTTTGGAGGCTGAGGCAGGAGGATCATCAAGCGTTCAAGGCCAGGGCTGGGGATCTGGCTCAGTGGTTCCACCACCTGCCTCAAAAGCCAAAGTCCTGAGTTAGATCCCCCATACCAAAAAAGAAAAAAAAAAAGTTCAAGGTCAGCCCAGTCTACATAGTGAGTTCAAGTCCAGCCTGAACTACATAGCAAGACCCTGAGTAAAAAATACAATAATAACAATAATTTACTATAATATAATAATGCTTAAGAGTCTTTTATTTCTCTTATAATTTTTTTTCTATACTGGGGATCAAACTCAGAACCTGGTGCTTATGAGGCAGGCACAGCCCCACTGAGCTAAATCCCTGGCCTTATAGTAACTTCTTTTTTGTTGTCATAGTTTTTGGGGGGGTACCAGGGATCGAACTCAGGACCTTGTGCTTGCAAGACAAGCAGCAGAACCACTGAGCTAAATCTCCCGGGCAATAACTTCTTTTTAGATGCTGAAGATGGAACCTAGGCCCTCGCCCTTGTGAAGCACGCACTGTACTACACCGCTATAACCCAGCACTATTACGTAATCTTTCAACTCTCCCTTAGGTAGGAAGAATTATTATTATCCTGTCTTTGCTTTATATTTTGATAAACTTAGGAAAGTTCCTCAGCTGATGAAATGAGGCCAGCGAGTCATTCCCAGCCTTTGCATCCTATGTGCTGGTCTTCAGCTCGGCCTGGGCAGTGGGGGGCTGTTATTTGGGCCTGGAATGGCTCGGTGGGTCCATCTCCATTTCCAAGCCAGGGAGTCTGTATTTACGTCTCCCACTGGTACTCGCTGTTGTATCCAGAAGGAAAACACACACACACACACACACACACACACACACACACACACTAACCTTGCAGGAAGCAGCTACATAATAAAGGCTGACAACCTACATCTCATTAAATCATTTGAAAACACGAGCCTGGAATGACAGCATCCTGTGGGGTCGTCCTAGTGGCCTCCGCATGTCACCCACGTCACCCACGGGGAGAGGCAGCCCTGTGTTTCGTAAGTCATGTGCTCTGAGTCGTCTGAAGAACGGACGACGATCACAATATCCGATGTTGAAGTGAGTTCTGGGTTAGGTTAAGGTACAGAGCCATAATACGGCCCTGTCCCGTTCCTGTGGCAGACTGAGAAGGCTGTAACAACCCAACCGGGAAGTGGCGGCCGTGCTGGACACAGATGCCCTTGCTCTGCGCAGAGCTTGTGAGCTTTCTATGTAAACACGATAACAAAGACCCCAAGAACGCACAGACAGAGGACAGAGGGGAAATCACAAAAGAGATTTAGTTGTGTAACAAACAATGGGAGGAGAGTCCATCTCACCAGGGATCAAAGCTATGCAAATGAGCACACGGAGAGCCTGCCCCAGGGTGGCCGAGCGCTTTCTCCACTTGGCTGGCGTCTTGGAAGTGGATTTCCGCCCTGTTAACAAGAAAGCAGAAAGTGACACAAGGTAGAATTAAAGCACTTTTATGCTTTTTGAGCTAGTAACTGCCTATGTGAGACTCCATTCTAAGGCAGTCCAACTAGGAAAGATATTTATTTATATGCCCTAAAAAGTTCACTGCACAGCTTTCTGTAAAACAAAAGAAGGAACTAAGTGTCCAATAACTCATTAAAATAATAGGAAAACAATATGGCTCATCCTACCAACGCATTGTGAAGCAATTAATTCATTTTGTTTTTTGTTTTTTGAGACAGAGTCTCACTATGAAGTCCAGGCTGGTCTTGAACTCACTATGTAGCCCAGGCTGGCCTCTAACTCAGGGCAATCCTCCTGCCTCAGCCTCCCACGTGCTGGGATTACAGGTGTGCGCCACCATGCTCATTCTAAAATTATTTTCTGAAGTATTTCTAGTCATATACATGTTATCATGCAGTTTGAGAAACCAGCTAATGAAAACTAGGAAACAGCCATGTGTAAATGAAGAGATTTTTTTAAAGATGAAAAAAACCCACTTATTTTTAGAAAAAGGACTGTGGGAGGTTGACTAAAATGTTAATCGTTGTCCCCACATTGGAACTCTTCCTTTTACTTTTCCATATTTTCAGTATTTTTATACTTACTATTTAGGACACTTACAATGAAGACAAAAATATTCAGACAGAGGGGGAGGAAGGAAAACTTAGCATATTTCGTGATTGACCCCTTTAAAAAGCATAAGCTGACTCGCCTCTCATCACTGTTCTCTTCATCTTTTTGCTTTATGTATATCTTTACCACTATTAAATCATTAATCTCCTTATCAAAACATAAGCAAATGTTCTATCAGTTTTCTTTCTTTTTTTTTGGTACCAGGGATAGAACTTGGGACCTTGTGCTTTTGAGGCAGGCGGCAGAACCACTGAGCTACATCCCCCACTCTAAAATTCTAATCTTCATCTGACAAACTAGAACTTCTCCTTAAAATTTCAATTGAGTAACCATACTGCTATTTTTCAAAGAGAAAATGATTTTTCAGCCAGGCCTGGTGGTTCATGCCTGTAATCCCAGTACTCAGGAGGCTGAGGCAGGAGGATGGTTACGAGTTTGAGGCCAGCCTGGACTATACAGTGAGTTCAAGGCCAGTCTGTGCTATGTAGCAAAATCTTGTCTCAAAAAACAAAATGAAGGAAACAAACAAGCAAAAACCCCCAAAACCAAACAAGAAGAAAATAATTTTTAAAGAACAGTCATAAGGGCTGGGGATTTAGCTCAGTGGTGGTGCTGACTGCCTCGTAAGCTCAAGGTCCCAAGTCTGATACCCAGTCCAAAAAAAAGTCATAAAATGTAGTACTATTTAGTTTTCAATAGGAATACAGTGTCCTTTATCAGGGAGACTTTTTTCTGGTTCTGAGGTTGAATCCAGGGCCTTCCCACCTAAGCTATGTCCCCAGGTCTTCTTCATTTTTTTTCTTTTGAGATAGGGTCTTGTATTTGGCTACATTGTCCAGGCTGGGCTCCAACTTGTGATCCTCCTGCCTCAGTCTCCCTAAGTGCTGGGATGACAGGTGTGCCACTCTCAGAGGAATCTAAAGTTCCTAGAAAATAGAACTCAGAGCAAGAGGGAATGATGGGTAGTTCATAGGGGAAAGTCCTTGACCATAAAGCCTATCAAGAGAGAGATCTGCCGGGGATTTACCTCAGTAGTTCCACTACCTGTCTCGCAAGTACAAGGTCCCAAGTTGGATTCCTGGTACGGGGGCGGGGGGGTAAATCCGTGCGGTAAGGTTGATCTACAGCATACCGCGAATTAAGTGCAGGAGACGCCGAAGCACTGGGCTGTGTTTGACCACGTACCTGAACGCAGGCCCACAGGTGTACGGACCCTCAGGAGTCACGGCGGAGGGAGAAGAGGCCCGCCCCGTCCTCAGGGCTCCTCAGCACTCCCACTTTTCCGCCCGTTAGGAACACGCACCATCTCTCGGGAAGGGAATCTGGTGAACTCTACTTGAATAGCAATGTCCCCCCTCTGTCGGCTGTCCTGTAAGGTGTGCTTCCGAAAACAAAACCAAAAAAGTAGCCAACGGTGCCACTCTTTTTGCTCTCAACTTTGGCAAAATCCAAATGAGCAGCAGGACTCCCTGGGAGGGAGCTGCCAGGTCCCCTGCGATTCTGTGCGGGCTGCTCTGGTCCCCTCTGCTGTCCCCAGGCTGTGGGCTCAGAGCCCTTCACAGGCGCCCGTTGGGTCCACTCATCCTGCGCAGCCTCCGTGGGCTGTCGCCGTCTGATGGGAAAACAGGGATGACTACCAGCTGGGAGATGTGAAGCTCCCGGAGATAAAATGAGGGCGTTTTCCTCCCGGGAGAAAGAGGCACTTATTTCCCTCACGCGTGTTGTAGGGTTCGGAAACAGCAGCTTTCTTCCCTCCCCTGTGGTGTGGGGAAGGGTCTCGCTCTCCACTGCTGAGTGGACGGCAGCACAGTGCTGGAGGAAGAGCGGGGCCTGGTCACCCCGTGATCCTAGAACGAAAAGGACAGAACAAAATACAGCGCTGTGGCTCAGCTGCTTCTCCTTTCACTAGGAAAAAAATGCAGTAAGACACATTTCCTATTTCAGAGTTCTCTAAGAGCACACTTGAGTCATGGAGCAATTCGGGAGTTAGTTCTTAAAACAAGATGTATTCATATTCGCAGTTTAGCACAGTCTTCACAGTGACAGGATGAATGGAACTCCAAAATAATGAGGTGTTTTTCTTTCCTAAGTTGTCGTACAATTTAATAGTGCTGTCACAATTCTTTATATTTGAAAATAAACAAGATAGTCAGCCTCAGCTCTGTGCTGCCAGCTGTATTACAAGAGGGGGAAATGCCGGGTTTGGTGGTGCAGGCTGTGATCCCAGCTACCTGGAAGGCTGGGTGATGTACTGACTTAGTGAGGCCCTATCTCAAAATAAAAAGGGCAGGTGGGTTACTGCAGGGTGCAGGCCCTGAGTTTTGCCCCTACCACCAAATAACAAATAAATAGCTTAGCATCAGTGTGTTTGCCTAGCATGTATGAGGGCCTGGCTTCAATCCACACACACACACACACACACACACACACACACACACACACACACATGAAGTGTATATGGGGGCTCTTTTTCTTAGCCTGTCAGGTTGCTATAAAAAAATTATCATTGCCAGGCATGCTGGGCCATACTTCTAATCCCTGCATTCTGGGAGGCTGAGGCAGGAGAATCACAAGTTCAAGCCCTGCCTGGGCAACTTCACAAGACTCTGTCTCAAAATAAGAAAAATATAAAAAGATCTGGGTGTGTAGCTCACTGCAAAAGCCCTGCATTCAATCCTCAGTATTGGGGGGGAGGGGTAGACGAGTAGCTCGTAAACAACAGAAATGCATTTCTCATGGCGAGGAGCCACAGCAGTGTGAGATCAGCGCGCCAGCAGACTGTGTCCTGAGGGCTCTTTCTTCCTCCTCCTCAGCCTCCCTTCTTCTTCCTCTCCTTCCTGTTCTCCTACTGTCTTTCTCCTCACACTTGTGGCATTCTGTTATTCTGGCTGGTGGGGACACAGATTGTTCCTCGCTTCTTCTCTTTCTCTTCCTCCTCCTCTTTTGTGGTTTTGCTTTGTTCTTTGGAGACACGATCCTGCTATGTAGTTGAGACTGGCTGTGAACTCGCTGTGCAGCTCAGGCTGGCCCTGGACTCAGGGCAATCCTCCCACTTCTGCCTCCTGAGTGCCGGGATTACAGGCGTGCGCCTCCCCACCGGGAAAGATGATGTTCTTTTAAAAATAAGCAAGGGGGTATGCTTCACACACAAAGCATCACTAGGCTGGTGCAGGGAGAGCGCATGCTTACCATGTGCAGGGTCCCAGGTTCAACCCTCAGCACCAGAAACCAAAACCAAATGTCACTGCTGTGTAATAGGTAACTCCCTCAGTGCATTCTCTAATTACAGATGTTTGCCTTATTACTGGATGTCAGCCTCTGAGGAAGGTCAATGAGTAGGATCAAAAAGCTTTAAGAGGTTTCTGCATCCGGCCATGACAGAATAGCAGGCATTGGATTTGCCCTCCCACGTGGACCAAGAAACTGAGCAATATACATGCAACACTGGTTTCCACACACTGGAGGACAGGACGTGCGGGGCGAGCGCCCCAGGAGAAGGAAAGCAAACGAGATAAGCCGAGCCCTGTCTCAGCTTGCTCTCCAGCAGGTGCCTGAGGGGCAGCCTGTGGGCCCTGTGGATTCCCTGAGTCGGAAATGACAGAGTTAAGGTGCAGGTGGTTAGAATTCCCACCCCCGGAGATGAAAGGACTGCACAGGAAGCAGCTTCACGGATTGTGGAGGGCTCCGCTGGCCTCAGGTCTACATGAATCAGACGGCCTGGAGAGGAAACCACCTGAGGCCAGGGAAAGTACCACGAGGAGGAACTGAGCGGAGCAATCCTGGAGGCCACGCTGGGCCAGGGGTAATGTGTCTTTCCCTGTGCCGGAATGACAGAGACACTGAACAGAAGTACCGTCTTCGTCACTTTCTTGTTCCTGGGACACAATACCCACAACCCACAACTCTTGACGAATGCTTTATTGTGGGTCACGGTTTGGAGAAGTTTCAGTCCACAGAGGATGTGCTCCAAGGCAGGGCAGAGGCAGAAAAAGTCCAGAGCAGAGCAGAGAGAGGGATCAAGGGAGGAGAGAAAGAGAAACTCTTCAAGCCACGCCCCCAGTGTCCATCTCCTCCAACCAGGCTTCGCCTCCCAAATCACACTTAGATATGAACCCATTGGTGGACGAATCCGTCCACGGAGGGGCATCAGGCCCCTGTTATCCAATCGCCTCTCCTAAACATCACTGGGAGCGCTCGAGGCTTTGCAGGGACACCCAGCTATAAACCATAACAAGTTCTTAGCAAAGTGCAGCCATTCAGAGGGGCCAAATCAGCATTAGCTAACAACTGCTTTGGTCCCAACTAACAAAATTTAAAAGGAAGACTTGAAAAAATAAAATGATTTCAAAGTTACTTTATTGCATTGCAGTACAAAGCTCAAGATATTGTGGGAAATAAAAACAACAACAACAACAAAATCCCAAACAACTCCAGCACCAAACAATATAAAATTCACAAAGTTTGGCATCCAAATAAATTGCAGCATGTGAAGACGGAAAAAGCAAGCCACTGTGAGCAGAAAAGGCAGTCACTCGTGAATAGGTTTTTGTGTCTTTCTTCAGTTTTGGTAAGAAAGTAAAGCTGGACTCATAGAATGAGTCTAGAAATGACCCCTTTCAATTTTTTGGAAGCATTTGAGGAAAACTGGTGATCATTCTTCAGTGTGGTTTTACATTTCTCTAGTGAGGGCCACCCGTCTTGTCCGAGGCTCTTCCTCCTGAAAGGGTTTGTGATTCACAGTTCAATCGCTTTACTGATTATAAAACTGTTACGAAAGCTTATTTCTTCATGATTCAGCCCAAGTTCAAGGTTCTTCTCTTTCTAGTAGTTGCATGTTTCTAGGAATTTATGCATTTCTTCTACATTATACTATGAGTTTGGTGATAGTTGTTTATAGCAGTTTTTAGATCATTTTTATTTTTTAAATTTAATTTATTGGTACATTCTAGGTAGACAGTACAGTTACATTCATTACTGGGATCTTGTACCTTTACATGCCAGGTCTTGGTTCTCATTTTTTCCTCTTGTCCCCACCAAGATCATTTTTATTTCTGTGATATTAACTGTGGTATTCCCTCTTGTCTGATTTTAGTTATCTGAGTCTCTTTTTTTTTTTCTTCTTAGTTTATCTAGCTGATAATTTTTTTGTTTTGTTTTGTTTTGTTTTGTACCAGGGATGGAACTCAGGACCTTGCGTTTGCAAGGTAGGTGCAGCACCCCTGAGCTAAATTCCTGGCCCATTTGTCAATTTTTTTGACCTTTGGAAAAACCTCTTAGTTTGGTTGATTTTTTTTCTATTGTTTTACTAGTCACTATTTTGGTTTTCTGTGCTGCAGTATAAACTTCAGTTCTTCTTTTCTTCCTATAATTTTGGGTTTAGTTCTTCTTTTTCTCTTTCCATTAGATGTAAAGTTTGATTTTGCTGATGGTTTCTTCCTCTTCCTTCCTTCTGTTGCTGGGGATTTCTTCTTTTTAAAAAAGTACCACTCACAACTCTAAACTTCCCTCTCTGTACCCTTTATTTTGCATCCCATAAATTCTGGCACATTACATTTTTTTCTATCTCAAGGTATTTGTTTATTAATGATTTCATCTTTGACCTGTTGGTGGTTGTATCTCCTTATGAGGTCACTGTGATCCTGACATAGTAGCCTGCCTTGTTTCTTGGAACAATGATTTCCAGTCTGATTCTGCCTGATATTATCAATTGCTGTTCTCTTACAGTTTTCACAGACTCTTACGTCTCTTCACTTTTAATCTATCTGGTTCCTTTGATCTAAAGTGAGTCAGTTGTGCACAATATATCTATTTTGGTCCTGTTTCGTTTTGTTTAAGAGAAAAGGTTTAACTAAGGCACTAATGGGAAAGCACAGGGCAAAATGATGCTAACGAACAGCGAAGGGTCCAGAAGGAGCGAGAAGGTGTCCAGCAGCTCCCCACGCGGGGCATGCACTCCACGCACAGACATGCGCCTGGCACCAGCTGTGCTAGGCAGTGGTCCACGAGGGGTGCGTGTCCAGCTGCAGCCCTGCTCCCGAGGCCTGGCGCGATGGCTGGACAAGCACTGGCCAGGAGGCGCTTGCTCCCGCAGGGAGGGCTGTGGTCACACCCGCGACACCCTTTTCCTGCTCTAAGGTATTACCTGACCCGCACTCCAGGGAGTGGCTGATGTAGCGTCTGGGCGGGAAGGCAGGTTCTGCAGCCAGCAGGAGTCCGTCCTGCTATAGGATCCTGACCTGTTACATGGTCTGTCCCAGAGCCTGTTATAGGATCCTGACCTGGACATTCTGGTCCCTGTCTGCCTACTGTGCCCCTTTGGCTCAGGGAGAGTCGTGAGAGTGTAAAATGGGCATTTCAGGGACAGGGTGTTCACTGTCCTGTCTCTTTGAAGCACAGTCCGCTCTATCCACCACCATGTGTCTGAACTCCTGATCATACCCATCTTCCACAGGATCCCTTGGGAGGTAACCAAGACATGTGGTCAAACCATGTACCAAGAGCACAGAGAACAAGTTATAAGAAGCCCTGTTACACGGCAAGCACCCTGAATAAAGTACCTCTCCAGGCAGCACGAAGACATTGGAACCTACTGGAGCAGAATTAACACTATGTTTAAACATAGCAGTGATGTGGGTTTGTAGCTACCAACAAGCCAAGGACACATATGAGTATTTTCAGGAATATGTACACAACATCTTGTTTTATGAGAGCCCAGTGTCCCCCCTCCCCTGTGTTACATGAAGCCACCCCAGACCATCACACAGAGTATATCCCAAGAAGGGCTTAGCTATGTTCACCTGTTTTTTTTTTCTCTTGCTTTGCTTCATTTGGTATGGTTTTTTGAGAT